AAAAAAAAAAAAAAAAAAAAAAAAGGCGAAAACTTAAAATTGGTGGCGTTTCGGCGGAGTATTTTCTGCTTGAACCAAATATGCGACGGAGTGCAAACTATGCATTCAAAAAGAGCAATCTCGCTGTAGTAGTGTAGTGGTTATCACGTATCTCTCACTAAGATAAGGTCCCAGGTTCGAAACCTGGCTATAGCACGTGCTAGAAGCCTTTGGTGCTTCTCTTTTTGTTCAAGGAGCTTTCCCCATGGTTCTTGGAACTCATTTTTGCTCCACCATGGTTGTATGGCCGATTTCCCTGTTTTGTGCCTGAACTAAAGGCTCCTGAAATGGATGGGCTTGATCAATGATCAATCAGAGCTGCTGAAAATGTTTTAAATGTTTACCACCAATCTTTTGCATTGCTGGTTTCACATCCTTATTTCCTTTTCTTTCTGTAGACACTTTGGTCATCTACTGTTGGTTTTCTCAGAGGAGTAACAACACGAAAGGTAAACTCTCGCCTTTCCTTTATTCGTCCATTCTCTCTCACTCACTGCTCCAACAGATCAACACTCATAAGGTACGTCTGACTCTTGGAAACACTAAACCGCACAACATCTCCATCCTTCACAAACGGTACCGGCTTCTTAGACCCCTTCATAACTATCGTAATAACCTCCACCTTGTTGCTTGTCTCCTTCTGACCCTCACCACCACCCTCAGGCATCAATGTCGCAATCCTCAAATTCAAGTCCCCATTCCCATAACCCTTCTTTCCACCTCCAGCACCGGCAGCAACCTCAACTGTCCTCACCCGTCGGTCCTTCCACGCCACAGAAACTAAATACCCGTCTCTCGTCCTGTACCCACTCACTCTCCCCTTCTTTGCCCATCGCTCCGGCAGGCCTTCAAAACAAGTCATCACATTCACATCTCCTGGACGAGGCGACTGTACGAGCATCTCTATCACCGCGGCTCCAAACCCAACATGTCCTGCTAGGTCCTGCATCGATAGCGAGATCAGGTTGGGCGAGACGACGTTTTGGCGTTTGAAGAGTTCGAGGGTTTGGGTAGATTGATGACCGTCGTTCAGTCTTGCCCATGTGACGGCGCGCCAGGTTCTTGACCATCCTTGCTCGATTCCGTTGCTTTCGCCATTATCAGAGACATAACCGGCGCCACGACTTTTGAGAGACACGCGCGCAGCTTCAATCAGTTCCTCCATCGTCACCTCCTTCTCCCCTTCCTTCTCACTTAAACTCCGCTTCTCTTGATTCAATCGCTGCAAATAAATCTGGTCCCCAGGGTAAACAGCATAAAGTGGACCAAGATGAGAAGCTCTTTCACCAGGCTCATCCAGATCTAAATTCCACTCCTGCAACTGACCCCACGATCCAATCTTCAACCCCGTCGACAGGTTCTTCAGTTTCTCCGCTAGCTCTTGGACAAACGCCTTATCCTTGTCAGCTACTATCGACATCGTTGCTGCCTCCAGGGTCCGATTCCAGAGCTGATAAACCAATTGCTGATCCAGTGCCGACCCTTCCGTAAAAGGTCCATGTCCAGGGGACTGTGAGGGTGACGCCAAGAGTGACCCATTACCACGATCCTTGACCAAAGTATCCATCCAGAACAAGGACGCACCCTTCATCAACTTGTACGCCCTTTCCTTCAAAAACTTGTCATCCTGAGAATAAAGGTAGCGGTCCCAGACATGTTGACAGAGCCAGGCTGCTGCTGCTGGGAAGTAAAATGTATCCTTGGCAGTGGTGTCTGACAGCGGTCCCGTGTGCGCCCAAATATTGGAATAGGGTTGTGTGGTCCATCCGCGGGCGCTGTAGAATTGTAAAGCGGTGTCTTGACCTCGTGGCTGCAAGAGTTGCTCCATGTAGTCGATCAATGGTATCACCGTCTCGCCCAAGCCAGTGGACTCTGCCATCCAATACCGCATCTGCAGGTCCGCATTCATTCCAAACCTTGACCTATTCATTCCGAGTAAAGGGAGTTGTTCACTTGTTATTAAATTGGGTCTGTACTTTCTATTTTTTTATCAAAATTCAAGGTACTTACGAGAGGGCTCCCTTGCTGTTTTCATTCGAGGCCCAAATACCGTTTCCAGCTGGCGGCAAAGACCCAGGTCTGGACAGAGAAATCAGCAGGTACCGACTGTATTGAATCAACAGGGTCTCCAGATACGTCTCTTCCTCTAACGGCAAAGTCCTTTGGACATTCCTGGCCACCAATTGGTCCGTTGTCAATGTATTCTTCGGGATAGCAGCTTCTTGTTCCTGCTCCTGATTTTCGCCAAACTCCAGTTGGAATCTCGAAAACAGGTTCGTATAGTCACTCAAATGCTTGGCGATCAAATCTCCGTACCATCCAGTAACAGCCTTGTCTAACACCCCTATCAACCGTTCATGTGGATCGATATTCGAAAACTCGGGGAAAGTACTCGCTGACCATCCTGTTCCAAAAGTGTAATACAGTATCACCGTATCGAAACCCATCAACAAAATCTGTTGTGGACTGGTCACAAGCGAGATTCCACCAGCACCTTCGGTCTTAACAGCGACCTGCGCTTCTACAGTAAGATTGTTGGATTCCAGGTGTGAGGTAAAGGCGAGGCGGTTGTGGATATTGCTGTACTCTGTCGTTGTGGTGTTGGTGAGTGGTGAGGTCGATAGTGAGACCTTGATGTTGATGGCACGGGGTTTTGACGACTGGACCCGAAAGATGCAGAGACCGTCAGGGTAGCTGCAAAACTGCTCCCTATTTGTCAAAATTGCCACAAATGAGGTGAGAAAGGGGGGGGTTGTCATGCGCACAGTATCAATGTGAAAAGATAACGAAGCATGCAAAAGAGGGTCCGAACAAACAAACAGCAACACGAGTGCAAATTTGCATTTCTCTCTCCATTCATAGCTCTTACCTTGAGAAAAGTGTCCCACCAGCAGAATAAGATATCCTGACAATACCTTTCTCAATATCTAGCTCTCTTCGATATTCTCTTACAGACTCCACCGGGTTGACTTGCTCAATCTCAACAACTCCCAAGGCAACCTGTTTGCCAAACCCTTCCTCATCGCCCATAACATCCCTCAGAAACGGCATCGTCGGCTTCAAGATGTGCTTCTCTGCCAATGCCTGCTGGACCCTCAAGATTGCCTCCTGTTTCTCCTTAGCCTGATCTCCATCCCCAGGTGGTACATTGCCGCCCCAATACGGGGAATACTCCTGTGGCCCACCTGTCCAACAGGACTCTTCGCTCAATATCAGACGCTCGTAGTTGACAGCACCGGAGAACATGGTCTGTAGGCGCCCATTACCGATCAGAAACCCCTGTTGTTCAACGGCCGATGGTGCTGAAGTAGAGGATGACACCGCCGGACGACGATACCAGAGGCGGAGTGTTGAATTGGTGGGAGGGTCTGCAGATCCGAGGAAGCGGGGCTCTGTCGGTGCTGGTTTAGGTTGCGGTGCTATTGGTATCGTCCCTGTCCCTGTCTTGGCTCCTGCTGTACCGTGCAAGGGCCATTGTGAATGGGGGTCGTCGTTGTGTGCTGGGGAGGGCAACTCAGGTGGTATTGTTGGTGGTAGGAATGGAACGTCCTCTTGCGGCCATTGTTGTTGTAGTTGGAGAGGCTGCTGCTGTTGGTGGTTGTGGGCGAGGGCTTGGTGCGCGCAAACCAAGAGCACCATGAGACATGCTGAATGTGTTGAGTAGTGCATGTATGTGAGAAAAGCTCTTGTTGAAAGTAGTTCTTGTGTTGTGTTAGGAAAAAAACAGTACGAAGGAGAAAGGGGGAGGTGTGTGTGTTTATGAAGGTTGTGTGGAAGAATGAAAAAAAGGGACACAACGTCTCGTTTTACTCTTCTCTGGGCGAAAGAAAGGTCATGAGCCATCTTTAGAAGGCAATTGTCAGCTGACAGAAAGAAGCCACTTACACACCAAGCACTTGCAAAGAAAAGAAGCCCGTGTTTTATTCAAATAGGCAGAGAAGAAAATACATGAAAGATAAAAGGCATTGTACAAGTAAAGAGAGGAAGAAAGAAAGAAAGTTTAGAGTGGAGAGTAAGTGGTCGTAGGTTGTTGTGCTGCTGCCGTTGTTTTGCTGTGATGGGTAATAGTAATTCATGGGAGAAAGAGCAAGACGTATAATGGTGGTGGATAAGAGGAAAGATGGGATGATAGAGGATAGTGGGTAGGGTGCATGTGTCTGACGTGTGCGAGTACGATCGCGTGCAAGGGGAGGACATGGCAGAAAGAAAAAAGAGAAGGATGGCATGAATAAATGGAGATGAAAAATGAGGCAATGAAGTAAAAGGAATAGTTAGCACTTTGTCAGCCATGGATGGTTGATCACCTCCGCCATAGTTATCCTACGCGTTGGAGTTACTGCGAGCATCTTCCTCAACAGATCTTTGAGGTCTAGTTTGTTCACATTAGAAATTAGAGGTTAGTGTCAAGCTTCATACTACACAACATCTATAGAGCAAAGAGGCCAACAAGCCAACTTACCTGCATCAATGTTCTTTTGGAGGACGGAGAAGGGAAAGGTCTTAACGGATCGGCGCCTGCGCTTGTATGCAGCCAAGAGCTTGGGGTCTCGTTCCATCAGCTCACTTGGGAGGTCTCCGTGAACCAGGGTATACAGCATCAGGCCCATCGCAAATACATCCGCCTCGAAGCCAAAGTACCGCTGCCAGTCATCGTGCTCCACTTGGATGTCGCTCCGCTTCATCTTTTCCCGCAGAGCATTGTTGGCATCCATCTCTGGAGGGGCCAAGATTGTGGTCCCGTAAAAGGTGAACGAGGGCAAGCTGCCTTCCTTGATGCGCTTCGAGTGTCCAAAGTCGCAGATCCTGGCGCGATAGGTGTTGGTGTTATGATCGACCGTGATCAATGCATTTTCGTCCTTAATATCTCCGTGGACGATGCGGTTCTGATGAAGAGCATGTAGCGCAAGCGACAGCTGCATAAAGATTGACCGGACAACACTCTCCTGGATACCAGATCCAAAGTGGCCACCCACTATGTTCACACCTTGGGGGGACTTGTGCATCTCTATAAAGTCAAAGAGTGACGAACCGCCCATCTCGGTGACAAGAAACTTGCATCCAGGCGACTCAAAGTACTCGACAAAGCCCAGAATGTTTTCATGCGTCAGCGCATTCAGAATGTCGAGCTCGCGTCTAAACTTGCTCTCGGTGTACTT